CTTAAGACACATGGAAAACCACAGTCCTAGAATAGACTATGAAAATAAGTGCCAGAGAAGATTATTAAATTGGAGGGTACCCTGAATATTGAAGGGTGAAAAACTGTAACAACAGCCTGGGTAATTAGAGGTCATACAGTTTCATACTACTCCTACCACAAAGTGACTAATGTCCCATGTGAGATGAAGATTGTCCTGAAGTGATGGTTTGTAAAAAGAAAATTTGTTTATTTTGGCCCAATGACAACACTAGAATGTCTTTGATATGGCACTAAGAAAAGCTGAATACTGCTGAAGAAGAGCAGAAGTACTGCCATATCCACAACAATATTAGAAATACTGGTGCTCTGTTAAGGCAATGTTTTAATCAGGGAGGACAAAAAACCCTACATATTTCTACTTTAAATTGTTGCCTATTAAATGGAAGGTGTTATTTGAAATGTCTCAGTGGATTTGATTAATCTGGAGGGAACATGTGTTGCTCTGAGTATGGGTATAACATGATATACCCTGTTTTGTCACAAGCGTCTTATTAACAGAGTTGAAGGGGAAGGAAATAATAGACAGAACATTACAATAGACATGAAAATTACAAATAATAGGGATTAGGAGGGTTGCCAACACTATTTGGGACACAGAAATGGAAGCATACAGACATTTTTAAATAGTCTGTGGAATTCAAATGGAACCTGAAGAAAAAAACCCACAGTAAATTCCAAGAAGAAACTTGGGAAACAGCAACAGTGAAAGCTACCTTCATGGAACTGGGAAAAGCCAGGTGACAGAAAATTTGCAATTGGTACTGATTATAAAAATGCTGGTTCAGTTTTGAACTGAATATACAAAGACTTTACGTCACAGCATAATAGAGACTTTCTTCTCTCCAAACATGGCTTTTGTGTGGCTAGGTTTGGAGTATTTTGTTCATTCTGAGCATGCTTTTTCAGAAAGATGCTGACAAACATGAGGGAGTTCCAGAGAATGATTTCTTTTCATGGACTATAGAACTTCGGTGAAAAAATAGGCAAATATGCATATATTGTCATAAATGAAAACAAGCATGTGTCCAAATACATTCAAAAATAGTCTATAAATATTGATGACTATAATCAGCAAGAATCGAATGGAGCATTCATAATTTTTCCAGAGCATTGGAAAAGAAAGAAGACTAAGGAAACATCTGTCTGGTTTTACACGATGAAAAAGAGTTCTTCTAAGATTCTTCTAAAGTCTTATCTCAAAATTTCAGGGTGTAAAATTTCAGGCGTACCTGCAGTGCGACTGAACCATTTGTAAATACACACAGTGACACAGCTCAAGGACATCTAGCATCAGTTGAGGCACAACAAATTGACTTCTATTGCTACTATCTATGTACATAAAGTTAGCTTTGTAGTGGGGCAAACAAGACTTGTGAGCCACACCATTCATGAAAGATAAGAAAACAGTAAGAAGACTCTGTTAGAGGGCAGACAAGTGAATTTTTTGGATGCACAATTTTGCAAAAGAATACATGTAAAAGTAGAGAAACCAGAAGGTAGAAAACTCTGCAGAGGGTGTGTATACATGAGATTTTTCCTTTCTCTTTGTATTGACCAAGAAATAGAGAAAACACATTTCTATCTCAGAAGGATATCTAGTGATCAGTAAAAATGCTGCCACTTTTTTTTTCCACAAACATTAATGTATATTATCATTAACATTCTGTAACTGTAACTGTCTGCCACTCAAGTACTGTAGTTCCACGAAAAAAATGTTTGCATCTGAAAATGTAAACCAAAAGTTCCCTAAATCTTGGGCATATGCAAAAGCCTGATGTCTGTCCAGCAACAAACAGTTTTTAAAAACAACAGACTGTATGAGCATTTCCAGTATGGATTTCAAGACTACCCCCACAAATTATAGGCAAAATAAGATTGTGAAAAAGAAGTGGCTGTATCTACAAAATTAAGCCTACACTTTGGCTTTAGTCCAAATGCAAACTACCACCAACTGCCAAAACAGACGAATTACGGCATTCCCTAATAACAACCACAACAGGATTTCCTTCAAATTCAGCCATTCATTGGGTGAATTTTGCTTTTTAAATATCCACTTACATTTCATCACTTCTAGTTGTGTAGGCAAGAAGGTGAAGGATATTTACACTCCTCAAGTCAACTGACCTTCACCCCTCAAAATGTGAATCAGTAACTGGTTCAAAAGCTTCTCACCATCCACTGACTAGACAGAAGGCTATACATTTAGGGACCAGAGATAGGTAAGGAAAATCAGATATTGTGATTATGCCTAAAATTGTCTATTCCATTGTAAGAAAAAAAGTAATTACACATTACTGAAACAATTGCAATAACCTGGTATGATTCTGATACAGTGTTCAAAAGACTAAGTGAGTAGGGAAACCGAGTAAATTTTTTTTGGAGCTTAATCATAAATACCTGAAATTTCAAGAAGTTATTTTCAATAGATATATTATGCTAGGCACTTAATTTCAATTTAATAAATAACTGTAACATTCAATTAGCATTAATTCTTTGGACTGTAAATACTCTCAGGAACTAACTTTATCTTGTACCGTACAATAGCAATTATGTGTCTATACTCAGAAACTGTGTTTTCTAATCAAAAGTACAGGTGGATTAAGGAGAAGCAGGACTTAAATCATTCCAGCTGAAATAAGACCCAAGGGACTACTCTTCCTCCTCATAGGAAAAATGCTAACATGTCTTCCAGTATCAGATTAAATTACTACCAGTTCTAGAATCATGTCTAAAAGATGACATCTCAATAGCACAATGTCATGATCACATAATTTCACTATCAGTTCAGCAATGAGAGAAGCATGCTGGACAAACACCATACACAGAGGTTAAAACCACTTCCTACACGAATGCAAGTTTTCTTGAAGTCTTGCAATTGCACATTTTATGTTGACACAATGAATCTTCCATTTCAAATTGGCGCTCATTGACCCAAAAGCAGTAAATATGGGGCCAAAGCTTACGCTTCTTCATACTTTTTTGTAATGACACATACTGCCAAGCTAATTTTCTTACATTAGAAATATTTGTTTGAATGAATGATCTAATAAACCCTGTCATAAGAAAAAACCTTATCATTGTGACTTTGTAATTAGAACTGGGATTCAATCTCTCCGCTGTGATTTAAGTTTAAGCTTGCAAGTTAATCCAACTTAAATGGGTGAAAAGTAAGTAATACTGTCCTATATAAATTCTTTTTAAATATCAGAATAATTCGACAGTCAGAACACATAATTCTGTTATAACCAACTGAATGGTTGGTTATATATATACCTATTGCATTAAAAACAAATGTTCTTCAGTACAAGTTATTAATGATTTTTTATATCAGTGTGGTTTTATTACATAGTCTAAAGACACTTCAACAACTCAGATAATTTTTTTAATGGCTCACAGCAAAACTAACCAAACAAATCATCACCACCTGTCTTAATTAGTTTGAATAACAGAAATGAAGCAACACAATTAAAATACTAGGTGTTTATGTGTGGAGTTCTCATTTGTTTATTTCTTGTCCCAAATGCTGCTTGCGAATCTGCAGCTAATTTCTGGCACTGGCTGCAATGCTTCCTCCGGCACCACTGCTTAGTCTCAACCCTGGATAACTGAAACAGAAATTCAGCACTCCTTCCACACAGTGCCGGGAATACAATCGTCAAAATCATTAAGTTAGTTTGAAAGAAAGAAGCCAATTTAACCAACACCCTTTTCAATTTTGTGTTGCTTTAGCACCATAAATGATCTGCAAATTCAGTTTTACTACCACACTGTGGTAGATTGTACCATTTTCTGATACACTGATCCCTAGGTTTTAGTTACTCCAGGTTTCTAGTATATAATGTAAAACCATCAGAAATAATCTACAGGAGCATTTTCTTTACATTTTTTTTTAGTTACACAAATGTTATACAGTAGATTTTAAAAAATATTTTGGATTCCTAATAGAAAAAAAGTTAAACTGTAGCCATAGTTGACAGAACACATTTGAAAGTAAAAGACACTATAGGCATGTTATAATGAGCTCAAATCAACTCTAAGTTGAAAGTCTAAGCAATTGAAAACTTACATGAGTATTTAGGAGAAACCTAAATATGTTAAATTATGGAAATAAACACTTCAGGCACTCAATCTTAATTCTGCTCTTTAGTTAACATAAGCAAACAAAAAAAAGTATGTGATTTTAGAAGTTCCTATTAATCTAATTTGAACCATAAATATCACAATACTTCAACTGCAATCACGCACTCATTTCATAAGACAACTCCTAGCTGTGAGGTTATTAGGTTACATTTCCTTATTTTCTTTCCTTACCTTAGCTCCTTACATGTGGAATGTAACCAGATTTCCTGTGCAACATTTACTGGTGCACGTTACCTCCATTGCTGTGCCTGTTTAACTTTTTTTGATAATATGGTGTCAAGCACTTTTTCCCCCTACTATCTGCCTCACACACTCTAACCTATGATGCAGTAGTTGACAATGCAGTACCCTGCAAGGGAGAATTAAAGGATCTCTCTTATCCCACTTTTCCTTGTGCAGGACACAACAAAAGCCACACAGGGTTTTGCTTAGCAGTGTTGCACTGTACTGCTAAGGAAATTTACACCAAAAAGCTGTTTGATTTTTCTTTTTTTTTTTTTTTTTGTTTGTAAGGGGACTGGAAATCCATTATACTATGCTACATTTTAGTTTGAAAATCGTTTTGTGAGGCAGAACCCAAGGTCAGAGTAATTCCCTTGTGCTATATTCCCTATTGGTTTTTCTGCTTCCAAGTTGTGTCTCACTTGACCTGTCCATAGATACTATAAAGTTACAGACTAAATTAAAAAAAAAAAAATAAAAAAATAAAAAAAAAAAAAAAAAAGCGATTGTCCAGATTTCCCCACAAGAGGTGCCTCCCACAGTTTCATACATTTCTATGCCAAAAGACAGATCTTTTTTATTCCAGGACTATCTCACCTCTGGAGTGACATCTCGTGGTGCAAACCCTGTTCCTCCAGTTGTTAAAATCAAATTAAGTTCCTTTTCATCACACCAATCTATCAGCGTCTCCTGAAAGAGAACATGAATCCTGTTAGGTCTATGAAGTAATATGTGGGATACAGTTATACCAGAAAACACTGAAGACTTGAAATGTCTTAATAACATAAACACATAATAAGTACAGGAAATTGTAAAATTACTCATGGCTTTTTATACAAAGATTTTAAACCACTATTTATGACCAGCATATGACAGAATAATTAAAGTATCCATCATAATATTTTTGGAAATGGAAACTGAAATTCTGTTCTCCATCTCTTCACCTGAAATGGAAAACAAGAATTCACAGTTATTCATTTATAACACTGTTATTTTTGATTTTGAGAAGTAATAGATTGTGTTCATTTAATTCAGACTACATGGTTGATTCTCATTGCAGTAACTGTGGTTTCTGTGCTCCTCTTTTTAATAGCCTGAAAAAAGAAAACACCATATATTTGTAAGTGTATCTATTAAAAGCTGTAACAATACACGCGATACAGCAACAGAAAAGATTATCTATAATAATCTTTTCTATATTCCCTACAACATCTCAGTAGGACTGTGTATACCAATTCCAAGGCTGGACTAAGAGAGTTTAAGAAATGTCATATAAATTCAATGAATTACAGTACTGGAGAACTCATGAATAAACCTATATCTGCCTGCAAGCTCCATCATGAAAATGTATCCAAGGATTACTTTAAGAAGTGTCAAAGCCAAAGGTTCCATCTTTATTTCTTCTTTCTTTACGTATTCCTTCCAATTCCTTTTTTGTGTCATCTCTTGACTTTATTAATATCACATTTAAATTACCAAAGTTTCTGTTTACATGAACATTTCAAATCAGCTCAAGAAAAGAACACACATAATGGCTCAGATCTGTCTGACTTCTGACTAATGTTTTGAAATTATGGTAGTAAAAACCATCTTTAGTCTTAAAATTGTTTGCTCAAATAACATATTTGTGCATCAGAAAAATTATATTAAACAGCTAAAAATTTCAGAGAATAATTGAGAGAAGTTCAGTGTAAAATGTGTTTGGCAAAGTTAGAGCTTAATATTGTGTACAGTTTAAAAATTATTAACATGAAGCATGTGTCGGTATAAAACAGGAGGGAGAGATTTTGTCTTGGGTTTTGCTGGTTTTTATTATTTTTTTTGTAATGGAGTATTTTACCCACAACATTTCAACTGGTTTTATAGAGAAAATAAACCCTTCCTCTGTTCTCATCTTGCTACAGTTCTAAACCACTCCAATTAACATAGGGAGGGGGGAAAAAGTCATGTAACAGCCCACAAAAAGCTAAAGAAATCAGTTCATATCCTGAGTCTTCAAATAAACTGAACAATAATTACATGCCTATAACTGCTATTGCACCAGTGTACTTAGGCAGACATATAATTCTTTACCAAGGTCTAGTTATAGTGAAGAAACATAAGTTTTCAGTAAGATGACCTTTGACTATGAGGCAGTAAGTTTAAGTTTGGGTTTCACTGTATTTTAGACATGCAAATTGTACATGTCATTTTAAAACCATGTAAAAATACCTGAGTGATATTCAGCTTGCTTGCTTTCCCTCTAGCCCACAAAACTCTATCTTACAAAACATTCTCATTGACATTCTAAGTATCTAAAAAAGGAAGCACCACCCTCATCAGTTGAGGACAAGAAGCTACTCATATTTGCTTCGCTTCTGCCAGCAGTGTAGCTTGATTCTCCACTGGCTTTGCAGAGAACTGGATTTGCTTTGTCTTCAAATGAGAATTCCTCTAGGCCATAAACCTGATATTTGGCTTTACCAATGCTATAAAAGCAGAATTATTATGTAACATTTCAACCAGAGAAAACATCATTAAATAATTTTGTGCATCTTTCTCCTCTTCCATTGTTTCATTGATGATAAGCTTTCCAGATAAAATGAGACTATATCAACAAGTTATGTAAATCACTCACTCCATTCAAGTCAATGGAATTATGCTGCTAATGGAATTATGAATAAAAATACAGTATCTGGCTCAGGAAAAAAAAAGTACTGTGAAACTACTGCCAAATTTTAAAAAGCCAGAACAAAAGTATAAGACTCCAGGGGAAAAAAAACAACAAACCCAACCCAATCCAAAAACCAAACCAAAACGAAAAAACAACCCCAAACCCCCCAAACCCCAACACAAACAAAAATGGAACAAAATTCCTACAGCCATTAAAGAGCTTAATATTTCAGACTTTTTTTTTTTTATATTTTTTCAGATATTTTGTAGTGTCAAGGTAGACAGGGAGAAATATAGTTATTGTAGTCAGATCCTCTACCCACAATTTTACTTCAAAAGCACACATCTGTGATTCTTACCTGTTCAGATCTCACTGAAGTCCTAGAATAATTACATGAATTATGTTTTTCTGCTGCACAGAAATATAATGGTGGGCCAGTTGTCTCCTTAAGCTTTGGATCAGATATGGTGCTCTGTCCTCTCTACTTGTTTCTTTGCATTTCCCCTTTTTAAACACATTTAATTTTTTCTCATTTAAATAGGTAGGAAATCCTTGGGACTAACATACAACTTACATCCAGCACCAAAGAGGTCTTGTTTCAATCAGTCCCCTCTCTCTCCTAAGTTGGAACTACTTGCTGGACTTCTTATGCACTGCCCAATCTTTGTAATTATTTCAGTTATAACACAGGCCATCCAAAATTTTACTTAAGATCTGTTTGATTTTTCTCCTGAACAGTGTTGATCTCACCAGTGCAGAAAAATCTTGCCTCATTCTTTCTCTGAGTTCTTGGTCTTTCACATATAAATGAATTAAAGCCAATAAAGATCATTAACTCATGGGAAGAATGCCTACAGTGAGTGGCACAGGGCAAAGACCCCATGTTTACCACAGACACATACTTGCAAATTCATACGGGCATTGTCACCATAAGACACACTAAGTCCAAAAGCTGTACAGATGTATCCTTGTGGCACTGAACCTAAGCTAGCACTTCCTGACATTTCAGTCAGTGAATGGATATAACACAGACATATGCCCTTCTGCTGAGGTAACTTAAATATCTCAATGTCCAGGACTGGAGTACTGAATGCAGTTCTAGTGTCCTCAACATAAGAAGGACATGGAGATGTTGGAGCAAGTCCAGAGGAGGGCCACGAGGATGATATGGAGGCTGGAGCACCTCCTGTATGAAGACAGGCTGAGAAAGTTGGGGCTGTTCAGCCTGGAGAAAAGAAGCTGCATGGAGACCTCATTGCAATCTTCCAATATCTGAAGGAGGCCTGTAAGGATGCTGGGGAGGGACGCTTCACAAGGAACTATAGTGATAGGACAAGGGGTAATGGGTTTACCCTTAAACAGGGGAAGTTCAGGCTAGATATAAGGAAGAAGTTCTTTACTGTGAGGGTGGTGAAGCACTGGAATGGGTTGCCCAAGGAATGGTCCATCTCTGGCAGGGTTCAAGGCCAGGT